CTCCACAATCCCCGTTCAGGCCTTTTTTCTAGTTGGAATCAATTCAGGGCCGGCTGTGGCTGTTTGGTTTTAATTAGAAACTGTCTCTAAATTTTGAGGAGATCTGTGTGCATGTGTAGTAGAACCCTCTGAGGGTGGGGCTGGGGTGCCCAGTAGCTCAGGCACCCCTATAGTCACCAGAATGGAGGTGCACAGACAGCAAGGGACCAATGAACAGATACCAAAAGAAAAGAATATCCACACCTTTATCTCAGTGGTTCTGCCAGGCATCTGTGGCCGCTCCGATCCTTTCTCCATGTGGTCTCACCCAAGATGACGGCTCCTGGAGCAGCCGAGCATCCTGGACTAGAAAGCAATGGATTTCTTGCTTCTGCCACAAATTCCCTCAGCTGTGAGCCTTCCAACCTTCTAGGTATTCCTTTATATGTGGTTCAGAGTTCTGGGACCATCCCCTGAGCCTGCTTGGTCGGGTATTCTGTGTTGTTGCTGGCGGAGCTCCTTTATGGCACTTCCACCCAATTCGCATCTTGTCTGTTCTCGGTCCACTTTAGGTATTTATTCACTAATTACTGCACACATTGTTCAGTGACATTGGTTGTATGCTTCACAACCGGTGAACATTCTCAATATTTCCATTCTGGTTGTGCCATTTCATCCACATTCTTTCTTCATCCACCTCTTCTTCACCTACTGACCTGGTTCGGTTACAAAGACTTGGTCGCTTAGTAAAGACCCCTGTGATGTGAAAACGGAGGATGATTGCATCCTATGTAACTGGCATATCACACCATTACATATCTGCCAAACCACTCAGAGTCTTGGCCCGGCCAAGATGACACAGAACCGTAACCATCACAGCCGGTGTTTCTCTCATCTTGCCCCTCGGCATCCCTTCCTACCAGACAGATGTTGTTACAGTGCAAAATATGGACTTTTTCCTATAGCTGTAAATGTGAAACGTTGCCTCATGAGCTAGTTGATAAGTTCCCAAAAATCATTGCTGAAATTATAATTAGCAAATTAAAGTAATAAATGTTTTTATGTTGACTAGCATCTTCTAAAGGGAAAAGAAAGCCAAATGTGCCTGCTGGGTATGTTACTATACAAGTACCAAGGCTCTCTTACCCTAGAGATGTTGTGCTTTGAATTGGGATAAATAGAGCCATCAGCAAAGTTGGCAACAAGGTTTTTAAAAAAGATTTATCATAAGATAAATGGCATCTTGATTTCCCACTTTCTTTTTTTGTTTTGCTATTTTCACTTTCAAAGGTGACAGACATGAATTTTTTTTTTTTTAAGTTTTTATTGTGAATTATGTGATAGTTTACGTGGGAAAATATTAGCTTTACATTCTTCCTATCTTATTTCATTTCATTGCAATGATTACAGTTCTCTGCATGCATCATTAAACAGCCAAAGGGTACACCCCACAAGACTGTCCCCTGGCCGTCAGCACACAGCCCCTCTCCCTCCCAGAGTCCAGAGTCCCCAGCCGCTCCATCTCTCCATGTCATCGTCTCTGCCTCCATCTCTGGTGTCGCTGCTTCTCTGGATAGGGTCCCACACTCTGCTCTTCTCCCTTAATGGTCCCAGGGTCTTCTGCTCCAGGACTACAAGATTAGCCACTCCCCTCCTTTTGTTATAAAGCATCTACCTTTACATTTGCCACAATGAATATGTTTTCTTTTATCTTCTTTATATCTGTTTCCTAGGTTTTTGTGGAGACCCTGGATAAATGTTTCGAGAACGTTTGTGAATTGGATTTGATCTTTCATATGGACAAGGTAAGTCTCTCCCAAACCAGGGTTACTAGAAAACTAAGAGTCTAGGACTTTTTAAAAAGCTACCTCCCCATGTTCATGTTTTTCTTGTGTTTTATGACTCTGAAAATAGTCGGAGAACCTGTTTTGTTGAGTAACTTAATGTTTGTTTGTTTGTTTTTGTTTGTAAGCTCTATTATCAGTACTAACATGTACAAGATTATTATTATAGGGCCTGTGTCATGGTTCACCTAGTCACAGGCAGGCTGCTTGCTAGGACAGTCATACCAGTAGAATAACTGGCTGCCAGGCCAAAGGTAAGACAAATAGTTTCATGCTGATTGTAAAATGACTTTTCTAATCATAGCTAAGGGACAGCGAGACTTTGGAGTAATCATAACACAGGCTTTTTTTTAGCTGCTAAAATTTCTTTTTTTTCCCTAAAGAGTAATATAATGACTAAGTCATCAGTAATATGGGTGCTACCAATAGTTCATGGAAAAATTCTGTTATCTTTTCATTCTCTTTTTCCATGAGCTTTTGAAACCCCCACATATAATTTGGGGTCAGGTGATATTCTGTAGGGAAGTAGACTGCTAGAGGCAGAATTGAAATGGTCCAAAGTACTTTTTCTCAGGTTTGTTTTGCTAGCACAGCTATAATATGACCTTTGTCCTCCCATCCTAAATTAACTATTAAGGGGCTGTGGGCTGCCAAAATTTCTTTTGTCCAACCAAGCACCTGATATTTCTAGTCCTGTTCACTAGTGGGGACTTTGTATATCATAGCTTTGCTTGGTCTTGGCCTTTTCTCCAACTGATTCTTGTCACTGTGACCCAGGCCTCTTTGATGGGAGACACTACTACTTAGTGCTAAGTCATGATCCTATGTTAATGTTTCATCGTGATGATGTAGGTGTTTTTAAAATATATCTGTTTTAGCATTGTCATTTAGATGACTTTCTTATTTTCTAGTAGGATCACCTTCAGTCTCAATTAACTCTACCCAGAGTTCTCAGATGGCACTTTCTGGGCTTATACAGTGAGGGCCTTCTTAAGCTAGGGTGTTGGAATAGAATGATGTGTTCTGATGTGTTCTGCTCCCCATCTGGTGTGGTGCTTTGGTTCCAAGAGAAACCTAGTACAGGAAAATCATGGAACCCTCTTGTTTAGAAACTTGGCTTGAGACTCTGCCAAGGCTTCCAGAACTCATTGATACTTTTGAGGTGACCAGTCTTCCTTGTCATAGGAAAGGATCTTATAAACTTATGAAACCCTTTAGCCTCCTCTTTCAGCAAACACTTACAGAGGTTCTAGGTTTATCAGTTGTTAAAGGTGCTGCTATCTTGTCATTTCTGTCAAGGGAAGTCGTAGTTCAAATCTAGTTCCCTTCTAATTAATGGGGAAAAAAATGAAGATTTAAGAGTCTTGGGAATATGGGAGGAATGTAGAGATGTCTCTGTAGGTCTTATTGTTAGAATTTGAAAAGCATTTTTAGAATTCTGAAATACAGGGTAATATCTTTGGGGTCACCACCTGGTATGCTAACTAGATGACTTTGTAGATGCTCTTCAGGCTGGAGACGAATTTTACAGCACCTCCGAACATGGATTAAGAAATAGACCTTATTGGGCAGAGGTCAGACATGCTTCCGCTCGCCAACCTTACTACCAGTTCTGACACCAGCTGTCCTTCCTGTGGCACTCTCTACTTCTCTGCTGGATGTGATAATCTACAGAAATGACCCACAGAACTCAGACAATACTCATGATTGTGGAGTTTCTTAGGGAAGTAACGTATATCATTGAGGATCCAGAACAAATCAGGATACAGTTCTTTGATCAGAACAGCCTCTTCTCAGCCATGCCCACAGACTGGCTGGCAAGTGTTCCAAAGCTCTTTTCACTCTGTGGTTAAGTGCCCAGAGGACTGCACTCACCACAAAGCCTGAGCCTAAACGTGATCAGCTCTCTTGTTCCCTGGGTCAGCAAGCCCACCGTGCCACCCCCTGTCTTCTGGCTCTGTGACCCCTGCATCTGCCATGTCTTTGCCGCTGCGTCTGGCCATCTCTTCCCTCTTCAGTGTTACTGCTCCGTCCCTTTGTCTCCTGGGTCTAGGAGGTTCTCAGCACAGGCATTGGGGCCCCAAAGACGTGAGACATGCTCTGTTCTCAGCTCTTCTTTCTTGCTGCTCACTCCCCTCTGCCACTGGGCTTGATGAGCCACAGTGAAGGAGAGTGAGTGAGGGCCTTTGGACCAGGACTTACTGGCCTGTTGGAGTGTCTCTGGGCATTTACTGGCAGAGTTAAACAGCTTTGTTATACTTACCTGTGCAGGGCAAAGGCCAGGCTGGCCCAAGTGATCTTAAGGGCTGAGGGGCCAAGGGCCAAAAGAGGCCTGCCTATGGACATGGCTGAGAAGAGGCTGTCCTGATTGAAGAAATGTATTCTGAGTTTATTCTAATACTTTGACTTTCCTAATGGAGCCCTGATGTGGCACCATAGGATAAACACTCAACCTCAAGGTTGGTTTGAACCTACAAGGTTGGCAGTTCAAACTCACCAGCTGCTCCTTGGAAACCCTATACAGGGTTGCTATAAGTTGGAACCCACTCGACAGCATTTAACAGCAACACTTTCCTAATAACCCTGTAATCATGAGTATTGGTTTGTGATTTCTGTGTGACTATTGAAACAGATTCTTGAGTCCAGCAGAGAAGGAAAGAGTGCCATGGTAATCTGGCTAGAGAGAGGAGCTTGTGTCTGAGCTCGGCTTCACAGGATTCCACCTTGGGCAGATGCTTATGGTGACTCTCTTCCCCTTGGTAATTATCACATCCAGCAGAGAAGTAGAGAGTGCCACAGGAGGGACAGCTGGTGTCAGAACTGGTAGTAAGGTTGGCGAGCGGAAGCATGTTTGACCTCTGCCCAATAAGGTCTATTTCTTAATCCATGTTCGGAGGTGTTGTAAAATTCGTCTCCAGCCTGAAGAGCATCTACAAAGTCATCTAGTTAGCATACCAGGTGGTGACCCCAAAGATATTACCCTGTATTTCAGAATTCTAAAAATGCTTTTTAAATTCTAACAATAAGACCTTGGTAAAGTTGGAGGAGGGCAGATACCTCCACCACACCGTTTTTGCAACTTCTCTACAATACCAAGTGTTTACCCATGAGTGTGCTATAGCGCCCCACTTTTTTTAGGTCTTCTCTGGTAGTGTAGTGGTTACGAATCGGGCTGTGAACCGCAAGGTCAGCAGTTCAAAACTACCAGATGTTCTGCGGGAGAAAGATGAGGCTTTCTGCTTTCATAAAGATTTACAGCCTCGGAAACCCTGTTCAGGGTCACTATGGGTCAGAACCGACTCGATGGCACTTAACAACAACAACTGAAGTTTATCAATGAACTTTTATAATTTTCTCCATAGAGGTTTTAAATACAAGAATAAGTGAAAAAAGAAAACAAAACAATATAGGCAGACCGACTGATTACTACTATAAGAATAAGCAAGTTGCTCGCCCAGGAGACATCAAGACAAGTGGTTGGGTTCCCTCAGAGCAAACCCTCTTCTAAGACTAAGACTCAATGGGAGTACACACTATGCATTGGTGACCACATTAGTTAGGGATAAGGGGAAGTGAGGGAAAAACAGTAATGAAGCTGCAAGCTAAGCCCTACAATGTGCAATAGACTCCTATGAACCCGGGTGGAGACCTGGTTGGCCAGCAGTATGGCAAGACCTGGGGACTCCTGGGCCCAGAATCAGTGACATAGCCACAGCGGACTAGAGTGGAGAGTGAAGTGTCCAGCTGATAAGAAGAGAGGGCATTATGCATAAGAACACCCACACTTGCAGATAATACCCACTTGACCTGACTTCAATGACTGGATGATCAGAGCTCAACTAGAAAAAGAAAGAAGAGGAAAAAAAAGAATAATCTGATACAATTTGATGAACTTGACCTACACCTATGGATGCAGTAACTCAAAAGAGGGAACAAATCTTTACAGCAAATATCATTCCCACCCCCTCCATACACAGAGTAGACAGGGATGGGCAACTTGGACATTGGCTACCCAAAGTGGGGGGGTTGGGGGGGAGATACAAAGGCAAGAAGTGACTGGCTTACAAGCTTTCAAGAGGGTACCTAGATCCAGAGGGCATGGAGGACGGTAGAATCTCCAATGAGTAGTATCCAGTCTGTCTAGGCAGGGCTGATGAAAGGAGATGGAGATGGGTCTCTTGTGATACAATAATGAGTAATTGTTATTGGGACTGCTTGTGAGGGTTAGAAATGTAAAGGTAGACGTTTTGTAGCAAGGAGGGGAGTGACTAATTTTGCAGTCTAGGAGTGGAGATCCCTAGGACCATCAAGGGAGAAGAGCGGAGAGCGGGACCCTACCCAGAGAAGCAGTGACACCAGAGATGGAGGCAGAGATGATGATGTGGAAAGATGGAGCAGCTGGGGACTTTAGACCCAGAGAGGGAGAGGGGCTGTGTGCTGACGACCAGGGGGCAGATGACACGTGGAGGGGAATGTAACCATGGCAATGAAATGATATACTATAGGATAAATGTAAACAACAATGTTCTCCCATGTAAACTATCACATAATTCACAATAAAACATTTTTAAAAAAAGAATAAGTAAGAAAAAGTTTTGCTACTTGGGCTCTAGTTCATACACATGTGGGTTTATTCTAAAGAAAATGTGTCTCAACACGTCTCTGTGGTTGGTGGATGACTGCAGACAAGTTCTCTGAGTAATACACTTAGTCTCCTCTGTTGTTAAGTACGGTCGAGTTGGTTGCCAGCCTGTAGAGGATTTCCGAGGAGCCATTGGTGAACTTGAACTCTCAACCTTGTGGTTCAAACAGACTTTGTCCAGTGCATTAACCCATAGTGCCACACCAGGACTCCTTAGTCTCCTTGTTGTTGTTGTTGTTGTTAAGTGCCGTCAAGTCGGTTCCGACCCATAGCGACCCTGTATAGGAGTTTGCAAGGAGCAGCTGGTGAGCTTGAACCA